ATACATTTTTCTGGCAGTCGTACGCTCAATTTAGTCCATGACTGTATTTTTAACTGACAATACCTAAACATAAAAACCTATAATATCTACCTAAAACTAATTATCTAACTATCTATCTAACAAACTTACTGTATCCAAAATTGTATTAGTCAGGCAGTATTTGGCAGTGAAATAAATTCAATCGTCGCAATTGAAATTTGTTTTTTTCCTCCTTCATTCACATATTACAAATTAACGTTTTCCATTTGCTTTGAAGCGAACATTGAATAAATCAAATGAATATCTAGATGCAGATCTGCATCAAACAATTTATCAACAGAAATACAAATATAATGACGCTTATGTGATTTGCAATAATCGTTTTGGTATACAAATGATATAAATCTAAGTTTATAAATAGTCTTAAAACTCGTCCGACAATCTGATATTTGGAATGAGAACGAACTACGGATAGATCTAAATGATTAAAATTAGAAATAGGTTGAGATGACGAATTTAAAATGAAAATAGAAGAGATCAGTGAAAAAATCCCACTGTTACGGTTTTCCTAATGAAAAGAATTGATTTCCGAATGGAACATATTTTTCGCTGTACTTTTTGAATATGTTTACTTTATAACTGTACAGCTTTAACACCAATAAATTTCTACCTGTCAATAATAAATAATACGATTCTATAATGAGTACTGGAGGTTTTTACTTCCAGAACACATTAGGCCAGGTCGGTCGGGATAGTAGTTTGCATTTATTCATTGGGGCTAGTATTATGTCGCAAACTTTTCGCTGTTTTTAACATGTTTAATGATTGCGATTTTTATTCATGTAATCAAGCTTGACCATAGCTATGGTTGTAGTAATCAATCAAAATGAAAATAATTTTCTCAGAATAATTTCACGCTTTTGCAGTTGGTATGTGATTCGTGTGCGACGATTTGCACATTCGGTTTACAATGCGCGTCAATTAATTTTGGATTCACTAACAATAACGTGTTTCGTGTCTATTTTAATCTTGAATGTATGTTGTGCTTATGTTCAGTTCTAGATTGGCGACAAGTGCACTTTTTACGTCCGACTTGTTATTTTAGATGGGTATTCAAATCTTGGAAGATGTGCCAAAATGACTTTGGGTTGGGCGTTTTCAATTGTAGATTTTATGTTGTGTTTTTTACTTCTTCTTTTTTATGTGGAAACAATTTATTTGAGTAATCAAGATTTGAATATCCATCTGTTATTTTAGGATCAAAACAGCCGTAAGATTGAGAACAAACAAAAAATACTCATAAATCTTAGGTTTGATAAAATGGACCGCAGAAATATACTTCCAAGAGATCCCAAAAAAGAATACAAGAAAATTTTCATCTATGATTTCAATTCCAATTTTCGAACTCGAAAAATCTAAGGCAATTCAATGCTGTATGATGATGTGTGCTTCGATTCGTGTACACAAGCATGCGTCCATGCAGCCGCAATGTGTTTTTATCTTGTGAAATTTTCTCTGCGGAAAACATAGAGTTTGTGGGTGGATTCGCGTTAGTTGAACTCGTTTCTAAATTCCACTCCATTCGATGGGAAGATGTATTGCAGATGGAAAGAATGAACAGAAAAATCAAACTTAGGGGGGAAAACTATGTAATCATTAATCGGTCAATGTTAGGCGAATACATTGCCATCAACATCAACACCGGCTGCACTCTGTGTTCCAACAACACAGACAGATAGAGAGACAGAGATAGAATGTATCTACACGGAGCACATGATAACGTTTGTAATCATAAGACAGAAAAAACACGTATATCTTTGTTGCTCAATAGCCTGACAAAGTGAGAAAATAAACACAAACAACGAAGGCGATATAACTGTTTTGAGATTTTCTATATTGATGCTGTTATGTCAACAGCGTTTTATTTTTAGTGCCATTTTTATAGTTGTATACAATTTTTTGTTGTTGTTGCTCGACATCAGTTTTGTCGTTTGTTTTTTCGAAGCAATTTTTCTCTCTATCTTCGCTTTTGGTTCTATCTATATCTCAGGAATTCGGTGCCGATGCTGCTGCTGTGAGACTATGGCTATGCATGTGCGTGTGCGTTTCTCTCTCTCTCTCTCTCTCTCTCTCTGTATATTCGTTAAGAGCATTCACTCAAGTTTACTTGTCTATGACAAAATGAATAAAGCCGGTGAAATATGAATGTAGCTCTTTTCTCAATAGCGCAACATTCTATCAGCACTTCGTTCACAGTCGGTTTATTTTGCCTCTAATGGATTTTGTATGTGTATGTACGTGTGTGTATGTGTGTGTGTGTGTGTGTCTTCCTCCTTTCTCCTTCTTCGTTAGTCGATTAAAGAATGCGTTCTTTCCTGATTCCGTTGCTTCGTTTCTCCCATGCAATCTCATTCACTCGGTTTCGGCATTCTGTTCAGAACGAAGCCTGACGAATAAAAAAAAATATTTATATATGTGGCACATTGTGTAAAAATGAGAAAGAAAGTCTAACATAAAAGCCACCTCTTCATCTGTCCTTGTAATAATCAACGCAAACATCGAATACTCACTCACTCTTTCACTTTCTTCTCTCTTGCTACGTTTCCCGCAATCGTTTGATTCGCGCACATCCTGAGGCGATAAGTGGCTGGTGAGATTTTTATTTATGGTACACATTCAATGGATCTTTTTTATTAGTCTCATCTCATATTATCTTACGAAATCCAATGTCGACTTTCATTTGCATTGCATTTTCACTTTGTCATTTTAAAAAGTTACTTCTTTCCATCATCTGCGCATTGTGCTTTTTCTCTGTGTGTCATGTGCTACAATTCCATTGTGTGTGTGTGTCACTATGCCAGCGTGCCTGTGTTAGCTCGACTGCTGCAATACGGATCGGTTGGGAATGATTCAATGGAAAATCTACAATCATTTATGAAGCGCCGCATTCTGCCGTTATGAATATTGTCAGTTATTTTATTTTTCGTTACTATATATCAGCAGCAATTATGTACACACATTTAAACCCAATAGGGACGCAATCGAATAGTTAACACAACCGAACAAAAAATATTATCCAAACATACATTTGAATAAGAGGCAATTGCATAGTGACCATAAACAAGCCAATCAAGAATGGAAGACAGATACAGGGATAGAAAGAGAGAGGGAGAAAACCACTGAAAAATGTCACACATTTGTTCTTTACATCGATAATTGTGTACGGCAGAATTAAAAGTGCTTCAATGAGCACACTCGATTGAAAATGGAGGGAAAAAAAAGAAGAGCCTCTACTCACAAATATAAGTAACGCACAAAACAATTGCTACAGCGTAAAGTTTCATTTTATGCTATATAATTTCTGATACACACAGATATGTATATATATGTATATGTGTTGTTTTTTACTCGAATACGAAGGGATTTTTGCACTCAAGTCTCCCATCCAGTTTTTTTTTTTTCAAGCTCAGTAGTATTTTTCTGAAATAATTTATGTTTCGCACAGTGAGATAGTGGGGAACTGTGGATTCTTTTGGTTCTTGAGTAGCCACGACAAAATTTAAATTGTTTTTATTTTCATCTTATTTTTCCGCATTTATAGATGGCCTTTCACTAAATTTGTATGCGACATGTGGAATAGTTTGGACGTCTATTTTTCAACGGCGAGCATATTGCATCTGTGTTGCATTTCGGTGGATAGGTGAGTGTTTCTGAGTAGTACAATAACGTGCGCAACACCAATTAACGCTGCTAAACTTATTTTTGCATTTTGCACAATATTGGCAGAATTCAGGAAGTGAATTCAATCAAAAGTCACGCACAGTACATAGTTAAGAGCCAATGCAAAAGTCAATTGATGCGCATAAGTAGCGCCACCTCCAATGATTACGGAGAGTTACCATAAGCCGTATGCAAATAATGTTGAGAAAAAGAAGAAGAAGAAGAAGTAGACATTCTATTCATTTACATTGCAATAATGGCAATCAGTAGAGATGATGCTCATGTGCCGATCATGTCACTGTTACAACCCTTCAATTTCAATGACTGAAACAAATTTATTTTATGGATTGAAATTTCATGGAGCTATTGGCCCGGTTTTTGTTCTTACACATTTTTTTTTGATTCCCAAAGTCCATTTAAGCCGATACATATTTAGGAGTAAAGAAACTTCTAGATGCAAAATTTTCTAAAAATGAAATGAAGTCTAAAATTGTTATTTCATTTTTGGAAGAAGTGAAACAATGGGTTTTTCTGTTTTTTTTTTTTACTACATACAAATACATATTTCAAGTATTATGGCTGTTATTCGCTTCGCTCGGCTTCGGTGCCGGTTTATCAAATCGATAAAGTGTAAGTGTTTCCAATAGTTTTTCTAGAGACGATTCGTTAAAGCCATAACCTAGGCCATGAATTGAAAAAGTGACCGAACACTCGCGACAGACAAACGACTATTCAATAATGATACATATAACTGCGAACTCACTCCAATTCAGAATTAATTTCATGTAGTACGTAAAAAAATAGTTTGTTTTGAAACAACAATGAAACTCCCATCTGGTTTTCATTTGGATTCACCTAGAGTTAAAACATTGAATATCAAATACGATAAGAACGGTTGGTTTTATTTCAATTTCCACAGATATTATGCCATCGTAAAACCATTGAAATACCCCATGACCATAACTAAAAAGGTAGTTGCCATCATGATACTGAACACGTGGATATCACCAGCATTATTATCGTTTATACCAATATTTGCTGACTGGTACACGACCGAAACGCATAAACAACATATGATAGAGAACCCGGACCAATGTCTATTTGAAGTGAACAAGGTGTACGCGGTAATATCCAGTTCGATATCATTTTGGATTCCATGCACCATTATGATATTCACCTATTATGCCATATTTCGGGAGGCGAATCGTCAGGAGAAGCAATTGGCAGCACGACAAGGCAATGCCATGCTAATGCATCGCCATTCAAGTGCTGGTGGTACGAACGGTACGTACGGTAAGGCAAAAAATAAAAATAAAATGAAAATACCACACTCAAATCAATGCTAATGCATAAACATTCGAAAATTAGTTTTGTTGTATTGTGTGTATGTGCTGGTGTGTTGATTTTATTCATTCCACGACCCATCATCGCCATTTCTGCTTTCGATCGCTCACCAATGGTGAGTCATCATGTGTATGTCCCCAGTTCATTTCATCAACAACATTAATTTTCGTTTGATTTTAAATTTGAATTGGTTCGAGTATCCCATGTGAATCCGTTTTCATTTATTATCTCAATTGAAGGCATTGCGTAATCATTCCAACTTTCAATGATGAAAAGTGATGTGTGAATGTGCTAATTTAATTTAGACTGAATTATTATTCGCAGGCGAGGCATTAAGCGGATCGGGTTCATCAAAAATGTTAACACTGAACGAGGTGGACCAAGATCATACACCGACGAAAGATAAACATTTGATTAAAATGAAAAGAGAACATAAGGCTGCCCGTACACTAGGAATAATCATGGGAACTTTCATTATATGCTGGCTACCATTTTTCTTGTGGTGAGTGTACACTCTTGCATTCATTCATTCCTTCATGCATTTTTGATTTGGACCAACCACTCACATATAGAGTGGAATATATCAAAGACTGTTCGCCTAATGAATGGAGTTTGATCACAAATGAATTGGCTTTGAATCTTCTATGAGTTTCTGGTGAATCAAAATAAAAAAGCAAATGCCATCAGTGTGTCCCACCACAATCGAAATTGGGCATGACAGCTCATTAGCTAGATTCAAATTTTTATTTCCATTTTCTAATCCATTTTCTCCGTGTTTTTTTTTTTTCATTTCGTTTTTCTCTTTCTGTATTTCACTGTCCAACCGATAACAGGTATCTAACAACAGCATTGTGCCCAACTTGCCCATCGCCAGATATTCTAGTCGCAATATTATTTTGGATCGGGTATTTCAATTCAACGCTGAATCCACTTATTTATGCATATTTCAATCGTGATTTTCGGGAAGCATTCAAAAATACGCTCAACTGTTTATTTTGCGCATGGTGGCAACGTGACCGTTTACAATTGGATCTAGATAATCGACGCTCAAGTCTACGTGCGAAAAGTGTTTATTCGGAAAGTTACCTTAAAGCACATCATCAAAAGCGCAGAGCCAGTGAACAACTAACTGAAAGTTTATAATAATTAAAATCGTGTGCAATCGAAACTAAGTACAATAGAAATTAATGCAATATATTTAAAATAAATATAAATACAAAACCAAATCATACTGCGTCAGCAACAACAACAAAAGAAAATCGACAATGAAACGTGCATGGATCAGATGAATGTGTGTGTGTCTGTGTGTGTGTGTGTGTTTGAGCGAAGCGGTCAGACTGAATGCGTCGAATACCATTTGAATACCGATGAGATAATGACCTGGATGAACGAACCATAAGAAGAAAAACGAAAATTTTCTATTCTGATTTCGAACATTACGTGTGTGTGTGTTTGCAATTAATTTTCTGACTCTGTGCTCTAAACCGTTCACCATCCGCTAGCGATAGTAGGAGAGTGCATTTGTAGCAAATACTTACATTTCTATATATTGGCAGTACAAACAACTGTATACACCATGACGTGCACGTGAGTGAGCGTAGAGTATATTACTCTCGCAAATAAAAAAGGAATTAGAAGTAAAGGAACCGTTATGGAAAAATATCTATAAATAATAATGTTTAAAAATCCCAGCAAACGTCTAATTTTGTAAATTTGTGGCTAAACTATGAAAACAAAACCAGAAATAAACAAAAAATGAATAACTATTTACAAAAAGCATTTAAAAAAAAAAAAAAAACAAACCAAACACATAATATGAATAACATTCATAGTTATAAATAGTTCAGAAGGAAGTTGAACAGAAAAAGGAAGAAATACTTTTGTATATGTTATCGTATCAAATCCTTACAAAATGAATGAGAATCTTCTTCAAAATGAATGAGACATAGAGAAAAATAAACTTTCATTTCCGTTCGTGGTGTTGTTTTTGCTTGTTTTTGTTTATATAACAATATCTTTACACTGTTCTTTATTTCAAGATTGTTTTATTCTCTTCGTTTTGACGATTATTTTTATTTAATTGTAAATTTTTTTTTGCATGTTTTATCAATATGATTGAACTTCACTTTCAAATAAGTGAATTGAATTATTTTTTTTCGATAGGTATAATACAATTTGTTTTTTTTTTTGTGTTGTGTGGATGCAGATTTATCGTTTCGTAGGTCAAATCAGACAGTCCGTTTATTTCAGCTAAACTTTCGTTTTATTAATACAGATGAAAATATGGACTATCATGTACTTAAGGAATTTGCAAGTGAAAAACAAAGGAGTCTTCGACAGTAAATCACTCAATAAATTGAACCCTGTCTTCCTTTTATGGTACGCTCTGAAGATTTATTCTTCATTTTATGTTGATTTTTCTTTCGGTTTACGTAGATTTGATTGCATCGAAAACTATGTATTATGTTGATGTTCACATCAACAACTAAACTATCAAATCGAACAAAATCAGTGAAAAGAACTCATTTGCTTTAGAAAAAACAAAATAAAAGCAAAAATAAATGTGTGTGATTTGAATTCTACGCTTAATTTTGAGTAATTTTGAATGAAATTTCGAATCAATAAACAACATGAAGAAAAATAGAGGGAAAAAATGGACACATCAGATTTTGATTAGAATTAAAGCCAAACGCAATCACACAAAGACCAAACTGCAATAAAATTTGTAAGCAACAATATTTATCGTCGCGAAGAATACAAAGTGTTGTAATTTGTTCTTTACGCTTCACATGAGCGCACTGCAGGTTCATTTCTATGCGCAACCGTTTTTGCTCACTTTCATTCTGAACAAACAGACATTGTCACATTCGGTTTTTTGTTCCGTTTTTTTTTTTTTTATCGCCATATTATGTGCGTGACACGCATGTATTGATATGTAAAATAAATGAATAGAACATCTCAATGCATTTAAAATTGTGTGAGCATTAAGGGTATGCTCCTTTTTTTCATTACATACCTTGAAAGTGAATATTGTGATGCAAATTTATTGATCCTTATGAAATATTCAGTTGTTTGCTTGATTTCAATAGAACAGTGAAAAGGTTTTAACGGGACTAAATGGAAAACAACCAAATTAGCGAACGCAATAAAATGTCTATATTCCGGGGACCCCGATGATTCGGAAACTGAAGGAGCAGCAAAAAGGTCAAATTCTGGTTTTCATCTTTCCGTTAATTGGGAAAAAGCCAATTCGCTTGCGTATTACACCGTTATATAAATGCACACAAATAGAATCCATTGCCGAAAATGGACGAACTAGAATGAGGGACGCGTTTGATTTATCTCTTCATCTTTTTTTGGTTTTAGAGATGGGAAGAATGGGAAACACCAATTTATTAACATTAATTTTTCAAGCGTAAGTTTTCGACGTTAAATCTGAACACAGAGCAAATATATAAAAAGAGAACAAAACAAAAACGATTACGCATTCACAATGAGAATGGATTCGATTCGCGTTCCGAATTTCCTTTTCCCATGAAACTCTCGTGTAATTTTTTATTTTGTTCTTTTTTTTTTTCTCTCTATTTGTTATTCAATCGATCAACGGACAAATTATCACTAGGAGAAATATTTGCGCAAATGAATTCCTAAGCAAACAATTATCGTCTTTGCCTGAAATTCGTCGTTGTTTCCTTAAGAAAATGACAATGTAACAATGGAAAGTCATCGCAATAAGAATTTAATTGAAATCCCTGACCCCAAAAGAACATTCAAAATCGATCGACAAAAACACCTTTTTGACCACTTTTCGCCTTTGCTCACTAACATGAACACAATATGCTCTAATCACCCATCTGACAACCTTCATTATACGGTAGAAATGATGATTTATTGCGAATATCGACCAAAAACAAAAGCAAAGAAAAAACGGGAGGAAAGAAGGAAATGTGATTGAAAAAAAAAAAAACGAAGAAGGAGTAAATAACCGTAATAAAACAAATGGAATTCATGTTCAACAACGAATAATTTATAGTCAATATTATTTATATGAGTGAAAATTTCCAATCCCATCTGCAGCAACTTCCGTGTTTGACTTCATCAGTTTGCAAGCAGGGCGAGTGTTCAGTTCGACGGTATTCATCAGTAGGGTACGTCACATGAGTAATCTGTGACAAATATTACCGGATTGTAGACCGGATGATATAATACGTTTGAATGATTCACATCTGAATGTGGTTTAAAACCGCCGATTTTTTGTTCGCCGCAATTCATTCAAAATGGTTTTACATTAATTTTATTATTATCATTTGTTTTGGTTGTGCATTTTGTATGAAGTTCAATTTGAGTTCCCGGATGGGACGAAACAAGCTTGTGATCGTAAAAACGGGTGTGTCAATCAATCACCTGTCACCATTTCCATCAATTTGTGAAATATAACAGAATTACATACGGATACAATAAGATTTATGTGTATAAATTGAATGTGTATACTTGCTGATGGTGGTGATGATGATGATGATGAAGAAGAAGAAAAAGATGAAGATATTGCTGCTGCTGCTGATGTGTGTATGCGTTGCAACACACTATAGAACACTTTGCTACATCATCTTCGTTGTGCACAATGCGCGCGCGTCCATACAAATCGAACAACCCGCCCGCTAGATTTTACTCTGTCGGATTCGGTATCAAGGTGCCGAAGTGTGTGTGTGTGTTTGGCATCAAATCGTTTGTTATATGGAATTTTTCCACGGAATAATCCAGTTCTCAACCTGAACATCTTCACTTGGTATTACAATAAGCCCACCAATCGATCATGGCTCTCCGTTTTTTAAGGCAAATTCACACACCCACAGTACACGTGTTCGTAAATATTATTAAAATACCACCGATTCGTGCTATATTTCTTTCACTCCGTTTTGCCCACACCAACAAATCGCGAAATACGTCGATTTGTTTACATTTCATGGGGAAAAAATCGATCAACACCCAAAGTCATGAAAATGCCAATGTAACAAAAGTCATAGCGCTTTTTGCATATTTATTCTTTCTTTCTTTCCTTCTCTTTTTCTAATCTATATATTGCACATTAAGAGGTGCAAGGCTCACCACAGTTACTTCAAAACCGAAAATCTATCAACGAAATCTTCACATCAAAATGCTGAAAAGGAGAGAAAAGACCAAGCAAATTGGAATATCATATCCGTTGGAGATTGGATACGATATTGATAATTGAGACTTTCAATACAAAGTAAAAGTCAATTTTACTCCGGTTCGTTCGCGCTCCTCGTTTTTCTTTTAAAAAGAAAACAAAAACAACAACAAATAATTGAAACACCATGTGAAACTGAATAGAAAAAACGAATAATTTTAGAATAGAATACTGAAAGAATAACCAAAGCAAATGGCGGAGAAAATCAGAAAAAAAATTGGCAATATATTTCTAAGGCTTAACGTGAAACTACAAAAAAAAAAATGAATGGATAAAAGGACAAAAATAGAAAAAAAAATTTGATACACAATATATAACTCATGCAGAAAAATACATAGTTCAATCGTTCAGTGTATTAAAATTGTAGATTATAGTGAAGTGGAAGTATCGTCTGTGTTGTTCAGCAAATCATTTTGTTTTGCCCAGTGTTCGCAATATCGCTTTCAGCATCTCACAAGTCAAATGGAATAGATAATTGGGCTGGCTACCCTGTCCCCTTATATAGGACCAAAAGGATGCCGCATGGCTCGGTGTTGCTGCTTCGTCTCTGTCAGTTGAATTATCTGTTTCATTTCACATGTTAGATGCTGAATGCGAAATCGCCAACAATAGTTTTTCCCCATTTCGTTCGTTTGTTTATTATCACTAATCCCGATTAGGTTCCATTTGATTTTATCGATGAGAATAGATTCTAAAAGTCGAACGGAAAATGCATTCATTGAAAATTGATATCAAGTTATTCACGTGAAATCATCGTTAGAAATTAAATTTAAAAACCCACACAACAAAAGTGTTCGATTAGGATACATGATTTAAAAAAAAAAGTATACATTTTGTCCATTGAATAGCATCTGACTGGTTTTATGTTTGTTTATTCATCCACTTCGCATTTTTGGTTCGTTACATATTCAAATCAGATATTTAAATAAATTTACATTCAAAATTTATCACAATTCACGGAGCGAGCTGAAAATGCAAATGTTTTTTATTGAAAAAAAAAAAGTAAATTATACATGAAAACAAGAACAGTCCGAAGGCACCAAATCTAGCAATAAATTTCATTTTTCAAAACTATAAGTTTACTAATAATAAATAATGATAATTTAAAGAAAAGGATCAACAGCAAATACTTAACAAAAGTAAATCAGTTTTGAATAAGCGTAGAGCTTGGTGCAAGCCAGGGATAAATAAAAGAATATTGTAATAATGTAGAAGAAGATGAAAGTATGTAGCCGAATAAACACTCAGCCATTCGGCCCGATAGCAAACAAACCAAACGTAACAAATTGTGTACCAAATCAAGCAGCTATTTGGCATTTTCAATAAATGATGCGCAGATATATATAATAAGAACAAAACAAAAAATATAAATCAATGGAAACAAAATTTACCATTAATTGTAATTATTCAAGTAATTGTTTACATATTTTCTATTTGTATATGTGAAAATCTAATGTTTTTTTTTTTTTTTTGAATTCTGAAAATCAATAGTAACGATTTAAGGATTTAACAAAAATAAAAAATTCAAAAAACTATAACAGTGTAAATGTAGGCGAATAAAATTGTAAATGTATATGTCGATTTAAAAAAAAAAAAAACACAAATGAAGCAATTTAGCTGAATTCTCTCTGATGTTTTCATCGAAATTTCGGAAACTATACAACTTTTAGACATCTTCAACATGCAAATATCAATGTAAAGCACAATACAAACACTCCGGTCAAAGTGAAATTGATTCGATTCGATTCGATTCGTTTGTTTTATTTTTGATCCAATTTCAAGCGGCACACAAACGAAATCTAGTTAAATTTATTAGCATAATATTCCGATTTTCGAATGTCAACACACGTGAAGTGAAGCAACATCACTCATTGCAAGTATATAAATACGATGAAAGCATCAACAATTGGCCAGATACAAATTATATTGATTTGATTATTTTGTTCGAACATTGGTTTTGTTTATTTCAAAGTTCTTGACGTGCCGAAACGTTTAAAATTGTAAATATGTGTTATATAATGTCAGAAATGGAAAGAAGACAAGTGGAGAATGTATGAATATGAACGGGAGAGAGATCACTGGCACTCAGTCAGAAAATTTATTTTACAAAAAATGTGTTGATGAATATAGATAATTTTATTTATTATCATTGTTAGGCGTAAAACATGAAATGCGTGTTTTACCCATTGTTCTGTTATTGATGATATAACTGACTCGTTGTTGGCATTCGACATTCGACAAACAGAAAATGCAATTTACGCAGTGAAATCATGTGTCAAAATAAGGTAATTGAAAATTGGGTCCATTTTCTATTTGAAATTCACACTAAACTGAACCGATAGAGACCGTCAATCAATTTTATTATTGTTAATTGAAACCGGTACATTTCTAGTGGTGGGACGTAGAAGAATGTTTCTATGGAATCTATGGAGGTATGGGCGGGATTGAAAGTATATTCGAAGTGAAACACAAGAAAAATCGCGACCTACCCAAAAATGCACATCCTCTATTTTAACCATCTTCAAATCTACTGTCCTCTTGCATACACTACAATCTCACATACAAGTACACACGTGGCCAATGAAATCGAACCAATTCGTTTTTTTTTTTTTTTCAAAAAATAAAATGAAAACAAATAATTTTTTCGATATTTTCAGAGAAAGAGAATTAATGTATTTCAGCACTTGCAAATATATGATCTAGTTTTGTGGAAAGACCTTGAATCAAAAGTTTATAACAACATGTTAAAGACACAAGAGCTTAAAAAAACAACGATTGCAACTTCGATGCCAAATAATCACCATATCAGTCGATTTTTTTTCGGATCCTCTTTGGCGGTGACAGGCGTACCAAGTCTAAGGATTGTCGTCAGTACGGATTTCATAGCCACGTTATCACTTAATTTGCATTCTGTGACAAATACGAGTGATGTCACCATTCATCTTTGTCATTCGAAAACATCTCCGAAAAACATCGTATGAAAGAGTGCCCTACGAAAAATGTTCAATTTGAATCGCACCGTGAAAAAAAATTCCAGTTAAAGTGGTATATGAATACTTTTCACATTCAAGTGCTGTTTATTCAGAAAATATTTTTGTTGCATTATTTCTCTCACCCATTCATATTTCTAAGGACTGACATATTTGCTCCTTTTTTGAAAAAGACGAAAAAACGAGTGCATTCAATTTTGTTGCCCATTTTGTATGTTCTTCAATTGTGTATAGGAATAGCAATTATTTTGTTCGCGTTTCACTTTCACGGTTGTCTCATCAATTAAAACAGATAGCAGTTTGGTGTTTGCAACAAAGTTGCACATAGTTATCTCTTATCTTTCATCATATGCGGGTGGGTAAATTGCGCATATATAATTTTTTTTTTTATTCTCATCAGTTTTTGTGCGTTTTATGTACCTAATGAGATAATCTTAAAAACTGAGAAAGAACAGCCTTTAGTAATGTTCGTTTGCTAATAAATTATCTCTGATCAGCAAGTCAAAAATCACATACGAAAATATACCTTCATTTAAAAAAAAAAAAAATTATATTCAAAAAGTGTCATACATTCTTTTACATCTCACCAATAGAATATAAATGAGAATAAAATCCATTTGGATTTTTGTCCTCATCGACCACATTCTAATTTCAAAATCGTATTCGTACACAAACCATTTTCAGTTGTTGGCATTGACAATATATAAAAATAAATAGAGAACAAATGTGAGGCAAACTCATAGCCTCATCGAATCTATTTCTCATCTACGCACAGAAACGTTGTGTTCATCATTTAGAAAACAAATTGCAGAATTAATTTTTTAAGCCAGTGACTAAATTTTTAACACTAAACAACAACAAACCTAAAATAAACTAAACCAAGTAAATCGAAATCAATACAAAAACAACTGTAATAAATTATATAAATGTAATGAATAAATGATAAAAGCATGATACCAAAATTACATAAATAAAGGCAAATAAAAACGTAAAATAACTGATCTATTTTTGACGATTAAAATATCTATGTGTATAACAAAAGTATGGTCTAAAAGAGTCTACGTAAACAATAATTAGCATATTGTACAACAAACCAAACAAAAAAGAACAAAATAAATAATCTGAATGTAGTGACTATGCGAGAAAATAAATGAAACAAACATTGACACTCACACACAAAACTACTATGTCATTGCCATTATATGACTTTCATTCTGGTGTACCCCAATTCATGAGCGTGTCGCTTTCTTCCCCTCTCCATCTGAAAAAAGCTCGCCTGAAAAGTCCCATGCAAACAAAAAGCCCACATCACAAAGCTGTCATCACAGCAACTTTTACGTTAGTAGAAAATCAATGAAAAGCTTCACATCGTAAACTTGGAAAGCTCGATTGGTCCAAAAGCTGTGCTTTCCTTAAGCTGTCAGGACATTTTTCTACACACAAAAAATCACCACTTGAAAGTTCCATGTCACATTCTCTTGGTTTGAACACTTAACAATGTAAAGTCAAAGTTTGTAATGATCATTAAAAATGATTTGGAAAACTTTGATGGCGTCAACAGCACTCGATGTTATGATGTAAGTTGATCATCGGAAATGTTATGTAAAAAAAGTAAATGTAAGTATGTGTGTATGTTTATGTTTATGTTGATGCCACAAATCATTATAGGCGAATGAGTTTGAATGGGAAAATTCCTTGAATGGTGCGAGGTAACTGTAACAGTCATTTAACATTCCCACATCCACTTCAACCTCTTGAATTAAAATTGGTCAATTTTCGCCGTAACGTTAATTATCCTTTGTTTAGTCTTATTTTCTTCGTGTCTGTAAGTTGAACGTTCAACTTATGTAAAGCTGTGCTATTCCGGTACGTCGTTTTTCACGGTTCAACTTCATTCAGGCATCAAAAGTATATGTACAGTGTACACACACACACATAAGAGAGGGTGAGGAGTGAAAGAAGTTGGATTGGCTTGTGCAAATGATTGCGGTGCGCTCATTTTGGGCTATGTTTTGACACCAAATGCGAAACGATAAACAATCGCTCGTTGAAATGAACCTCAGCTCAGCTCAAGCTAACGAACGATTTCACTAATTACATTTAACGGTAAAACAACTAATTGTGCGCACCAAAATGGAAAAAGTCACCGTACACAAAAGTGCGATAAAATGAATTATTTCGAATATTTTTTCTCTTTTCGTTTTGGGGGCGAATGGAGTACAAAGGAGACAGACGGAGAAGTAGACAGAGAGGAAGTGGTTTGCACGCATTCTCACTCCAAAAATCGAAAGACAAAACGAAAGCAAAATTCGACTTGTAAATTGTCTGCATGTGCGAATAGGTGGCAAATCTAAGATAATTGAGTGTTAAGCCGTCCGTTGTACAGACGATCGCATAGAATACCGTTCATTCACCTCATTGGATCTAATGAGCGGCGTCACCGTGCGAACACATCACTACAACCAATGCGTATATTTATCATGTTGGTCAACATTTTCAAAATATCCAACGATTCGGATTGCCATGCAGCCATACGACAAACGGAGATTGGTGAGCGTCATAAGCCAAGACAAACAAAACAAACCGAAATCAAAGCAGTCGACAAAGGAAGAAAAAAAAAAAACAAACAAAAAAAGCATTGAAAATCGCAAAGCTGAATCGTCGGTGTTACATGAGAAAATTGACGGTATGCAAGACATATACATATTATTTGCATAAATTTTCTTAAATATCGATACGAATTTCATGTGAACGCCCAACAACCAAAGCCAAATTCATCCTTAGTACACGTGTTTTATGGAGTTTTGTTTGATTATACATATATACACACGCAATAAACGAGCCATGCTAACGTCTCATGGCAATCTCTCCAAAACTCACCATCATCGGACGGAGTGAATGCAAGACAAAACCATACCAATTTCCGAAAATGTTCACATAAATAAATTCGCTCGCAAATGTTCGTGTGTCGATTCACTGTGTACCGACTGTGTACGAAACAAACTTCATCATCTCTTTTAACAGCCATTTTTGTGGTTTCATCTCTCTGCCACTTTAAGCAGAACAGTAGCAGTAGCAACAGCAGTGTGTTTCCATATGTGCAGTATGTATCGTATGCTTTAACTAATTAGTTTGCGAATGTTATTCGTCAAATTTTGGGGTTCGTACTCAAATCAAAATAAGAAGCGTGTATCCACTGTCGGTCACGCCGTCGCCGCGAAATATTTTACAAATATATATAACCGTCGATAGTCATGTATTGCTACTTCCCCCATCCTTTCTGCCACATTTCACGCACTGCACACTTTTTAGGTAGTTTGAAAGGGCGGTCGGTTGCTTTGTGATTGCACATGAAATACAAAACACCAGACATTTGATAAATCGAAGATTTCAACTATAGTTAAGCTTTTGTTTGCTAGTTTTTTTCATGTGGAAACTGACTTGAACGCATGCAAAAATTGAGTAAACAACTCGTAGATGATAAATGGTATGTTCGTTGAGTTGACGGGCACGTTAATTGCAATCCTTGTTTTGACGGCGGCCACAATCAAAGAACCAGAGTTTTAAAAGCATCAGAGTCTGTACCTTTGCTCTCTTTTTTATTATGTTTGACCAACTCCTGGCATCACATTTATTATGTATTTCATTTTAAGCTAAATTTTGCGTTTTGGAACGTGAATACGAAAAAAACACGTTGTTATTTATTTCAAATGGCTCTTTTTCAAGCATTTTCAGTGTCTCGAGATTTTAATTCATTTAAAATCATGTCGTCCTGTTTTAATTCAGTTTTGCATAACTTTAAAAGCTTTTGGAACTATATCAGAATCATATCAGATGCACATTCCCGTCTTTTTTTTTCGATAATAACACACACATATTGTGCTCTGGAGAGCATCCATAATTTTTTCCCTTCATATTGATGTATGAAGCTTCAATAATGAAATTTTTTTTCATTTCACATCTCAGACGATTTCAGCAAGATGTATTCTTTCGAGTGCGTTGGACTGTCGACGTGGGAACTTGAAATTGCAATAGTGAATATAACGAAACAATAAATAGGAAAAAAAAAAACGTATTTTCATCGCCCCGAAACCCAGTATACAAACAATTGATGGCATCGTCGATCACTACACAAGCCTTGAACTCATTCTATCTCGCTCACTATTGTGATCAATCGTGCAATCAAAATCCGATCTGCAGATTCGCCATATCAACCAACAGTGACTGTGTTGTCTTTATTTTCCTTTCAGCTCTATGTATTGAATGACAAAAGTCTCATTTTCATTGAAACCTCTTCATGTATGAATTGGTGCGTATGACGTGTTTTTGAGCCGGTTTCGCTCACAGATAAATACGTCTGTATTCTTGCGTTGATTCCATGTGTTTTGATTGGTGAATTAAATTTTTCAGCTCTGCACTTGTCTCCAGTGTCATTCAGTCTCATACAATTTCATGGACGATATTTCATGAAAACAACAATTAATATTAAGTAGTATTTAACAAAATAACGAGAAAAAAAAATACCAACCAATGCACATAGCATAGTGGCATATACGGAATAAAAAGAAATAGCTAAAAATGTCTCACGCACACTTCTGCTCTCAAACAACAAACAATTCGTATAAATTGAATCCAATTACGGTGCAAATATTGACAATTTTATGAAGCGATTGTGATCCCGAATGCAATTTGGTGCAATTCACATTCGTATATAGATATATTTGAGTGGTCGGGAATAAAAATAACTAAATTGAAACCACTTATGGATAAGCGTATCACAATATTCTTGTCTTTAAAATAGTCATTTTTATCCCCGACCACTCATGTATACATATATATATTAGATTATATTATATATGAAATTCACATTATGAGATGTTAATCATTTTATATTTCTGGTAACTTTGATGAGAAAAAAAATATATGCACACATTGACATTCTCCCATGTGAAGAGCTCACACAACTCACACATTGAGTTGATATCAATGTTTATTAAGTGTCATATAAGCACTGTCTAATTAAATTAGCATTTGCGTAATTTTCTAGTAAATTGGAATCATTTAAGCCAGAAAGACACATAGGTAAGTCTCGTGTATGCGCGATTAGAAAATTTTTTTTCCATCAAGTTTCAATTTGGTTGCGTAGATAAGTCAAAGGCTTTAATTTATGTATACAGTTGAAATGACAGAGCCATCATCATTGCTGTGTGATCGCATTGCTATATGAGCATGTGTGACGTTCGCATCCGTTGTTTTATGAACTAACTATTTCGCATTGATCCGTGCAATTTAATTTATGACTAGCGCTACATTGGGAAATTTGGGATTTCTGTACCTGCGATGATTACAATGTATGACGCTCGTTCGGTACGGTGTGTGACTTGTTCAGATAATTTGTTCCATAAAATGCTTTTTATGGACGTTTCTATCTCTATCGTTCACTCTCTTCCTTTGCTGTCGATTGAAATATGCGACAAATTTAATCATTTCCAAAGCCTGAAGCCCAAACTACACATAAAACAGGGATCGAAAACGGTTTGACGTTTCTCATACAAACCGATTTCGGAACGGTTTCACTGCTTTGCTCTCTGTTCATCGGAGCGAACCGTATCAAGCGGAACGTTCTGAGAATGGTTTGTATGGGCAACGTTCAAGCGGGTTGTCACTGTGTTAGTGTCGTTTACTAATACACGTAAGCATAAACGTTTCTGTGTGCCATACAAACCATTTTACAGAACGTTCCGAATGGTTTGGTTTGTTCACACACTCAAACCAAATATTCGGTTTGGTTTGGTTTCGATCCCTGACATAAAATGGATTGACGTGAAAAAAAAGCAAAAGAGAAAGAGAATATGATAAAACGTTGATTCGAATTTCAATAAATAGCCTTCATTGCTAAAGAACGACATCGTACATGGTTCCATTTCCGAACAATTCAAATCATATCCATATCTATTATTTCATTACCTATGTCAGTTAGACTAAATGCGTTATGCTGAACATTGCCACATTTTTATATTTCATACACGGACATTCAATTAGGTTTTCAAGTTTTTTTCTCTCAATATTGTTGCCCATTTTTTATTGAAAAAATTTATCGAAGCAAAAACAAAAGCAAAAATAATCCAACGTTGCGAAACCTTTTTTCAGACTTCGTTGAATTTGTGTGAATTAATTGGTACTTGAAAAGCTCGTGGT